TCTGGGCAACAGAGTGAGACTCCAACTCAAAAAAAAAAAAAAAAAGTTTTGGTAAAAGGCACAACATAAAAGTGAACATCTTAACTACTAAGCAGTGTTAACTATGTTCATATTTGCATTTCTGACTCTAGTGAAGGTATCATGCTTTTTCTCTGCCTATTCCTGTTACACCATGGACTTTAAAAAATCTGCCTCCTTTTAAAAACAGATATATAAGGGCTATGTTGATGATCCCCGGAATACCGATAATGCGTGGATGGAGACAGAAGCTGTGAACTACCATGATGAGACAGGTAATTTTGCATTTATATGTATTAAACTGACTGGGATTAAAGAATCAATTTAAGCCAGTAGCCTATTATAGCACAACTAGATCTAGACTATTTGAAGATCTTAAGCCAATTAACTTATGATTGTAGGATAGTATTTATATAAAAGCAAAATTATTTTCATTGAAAGAATGCATAGAGGAAAACCAAACGTTACCACCAAGGACTAAATTTCTCTCTCTCTCTCTCTCTCTCTCTCTCTTTCTTTTTTTCTTTCTCTCTCACTCTGACACCTGCCTCAGCCTCCTGAGTAGCTGGGACTATAGGCGAGTGCCACCATGCCCAGCTGATTCTTTTTTAGTTTTTTGTAGTGACAGGGTCTCACTATGTTGCCCAGGCTGGTCTCGAACTCTGGGGCTCTGCCTCAGCATCTCAAAGTGCTGGGATTAAAGGCATAAACCACTGAGCCTGACTGACTAAATTTCTTTAATCCCTTGATTACGTATGAAATTAAGGTTGAATTTATGGGCTAAAATTATGTGCTTTAAAATTATCTGATTATTTATGGTGTAGGATTCCATTTTTGTAAAACAAAGTAAGCGAGGATTTGGGTAGCAAGTGTGGCAATGATAAGGGAAATATATTTTATATCTCACTGTTTGAAAAAAAAAACTTTTTTTTTTTTGAGTTGAAGTCTCACTCTGTCACCCAGGCTGGAGTGTAATAGCATGCTCATAGCCACCGCAGCCTCGACCTGCTGGGCTCAGGCAGTCTTTTCACCTCACCCTCCTGAGTAGCTGGGACTGCAGGCATGTGCCACCACTCCTGGCTAATGTTTTTCTTTAAAATGTTTTTTTATTGTAGAGATAAGGTCTCGCCAGGTTGCCCAGGCTGCTCTTGAACCCCTGGGCTCAGGCATTCCTCTTGCTTCTGCCTCCCAAAGTGCTGGGATTACACGCATGAGCCACCACGCCAAGCTTGTTTTATATAATTTATTAGGGGACCAGAGTGGGGAGTACAAGAACCTTTCATGTGTTATTGGTTCTGATAAAGACCATCATCATGTTAAAGAAAACTGTTATTTAGATATTTCAGTTTAACTTTTGGATTTAGGTTTGCTTTTAAATTCTGTTTCTTCTTCATTGATGGTTGCACGTTGTAGTTGCAGTGAACATGCACGAAGAGCTATAATTTTAATATTGGAATTTAGAAACTTTTGTGCTAAAATAGCAGGTAAATTCTTTTCTTCTATGAAGTAGCTTTATTATTTTATTATAGAGGTATTATAAATGTAAAGGTAATACATGTTTGTTTATTGGAGATTGTTTAGAAAATACATGCTGTAAGGAGAAGAAATATAAAAAGCATCATTTGTTTCATTACCTAAATATAACTACTGTTAATTAACATTTTGGTGTATCTTTTTCCAGACTTTATATAGTGGTTTATTTTTAGTAATCTGAGCTTATACTGCACATTCTACTTTGTTGTTTGGTGTTTTCACTTAAAAATATATTGTGGACCTCTCTCCATGTCAGTGTATATAGATCTGCTTCATTTGTTAGGACTGTGTGGGAGTCCATTGTGTATCTATACCGTCATTTATTTAATCTGTGCACTATAGATGGAAAGTTTGCTTATGTTCATTTAAAAAAATGTTAAAGTGCACTAAAAATATTTAAATAATGTCTTGAATACTTTAATAGGCTTATCTCTTTCCTTAGGATAGGCTCTTTAAAGTGAACATTGCTGCATTGTTTATTGTCTCTTCAGTGCCTAATACAGAGTCTGGTGCATAAGATATACTCCTATATTTATTGTGTGAATGCTTATCCAATAGCATTTACCTTTTATAAGCTAAATTGCCCTACAGAAATATGCCATTCTCAACAGTGATTGAGAATACTTACTTTTAAAAAAATAATTATATTATAAATGTTTTAGTAAATATATTGATGTTTTTATAAATATAATTATAACAATTTTCTTTTTTTGAGTCAGAGTCTCTGTCATCCAGGCTGGAGTGCTGTGGCATGCTTACAGCTCACCGCAGCCTCAGCCTCCTGGGCTCAGGCAATCCTTCTGCCTTCTGCCTAGCTGGAACTATGGGCACGCGCCACCATGCCTGGCTAATTTTTTTGATTTATTATAGAGACTAATTCTCACCAAGTTGCCCAGGCTGGTCTCAAATTCCTAAGCTCAGGCAGTCTTCTTGCCTCTGCCTAACAAAGTGTTGGGATTATAGGTGTGAGCCACCGCTTCTGACCCAAGAATTACTTTTATGGTTTCTGGTTTGGTGTCATGCTTAGAAAAGTTCACCAACCTTACTTAAGACTATAAAATGAGTCACCAATAATTTTTATTTTTTTACATTTAAATCTCCAGTTACTCTAGAATTGATTTTGTTGTAAGGTTCATACTCATTTAATATCTGTCTTTTTTTTAAAAAAAGGACATTCTCACTTTTTAAAGAAAGACACTTTCTTATTGGTGCTTCTATCCAAAATTTAGAAAATTGGTTAAATTTGGGCATTTTGGAATAGTTTAGTTTTTAATTTCCTTGACTGCTAGTCCAATGATGACTTAAGATTAAGTAAGAATACTTGAAGATGTAGAGATATGCTGAAAACGAAATGAATACATGAATTTCTTTTTCTTGGTGATGGTTTTTCTTTGGTAACCAGGTGAGATAATGGATAATCTTACCCTGGAAGCTGGAGATGATGCTGGAAAAGTGAGATGGGTGGACATCAGCAATAGACTCAAGCTGTATGCCAGTCACTCGCAATTCATCAGGCTTGTGGCAGAGAAACGAGATGCGCACTGGAGTGAGGACTGTGAAACTGATGGCCAGGGGTCATAGCTCATGTCTCCACATGAGCCCAAGGCTCTCAAAGGAGCATGCACTGAAAAGAAGGCACTGTCACAGAACTTAGGCTATGAAACGGGCCCAGGAGGCCGCCTGTTCACTTTCAGAACAAATTGCTTCTAGAGGGTTTTGCATCAGAATACAATGAATAAATATGACGAAATGGAACACATTATTTTCAGCTTTCTGGTCAAAAGGAATATAAATAGTTGCATTTTGTATGTATTCTGTTTAAGCCAAATTTAAGCCACCAGCGCTCTTTGAAGACTCGTAATCAAAATAAAGATAAATTCCTGATCTGCTGTTACTTGTTTTCTGTCTGGTTCTTGTTTGCTGGTTCTTTTTCCCACTGATCCTCTGAGGCCTGAGAGAGGTTCCTGCCACAGCAACACTGTTAGGGGGAACACTGCCAAGTGATGTGTAGTGTAGTGTATACTGTATGTGTTCTTGTGGACATGATTTCAATAGTGAAAAATTTATATATTCTTGACTTCACAGTCACTAGTTTTATGAGGAAATCTCAGTTGCTCTTTTAGTCAATAAAGGTCAAGATTAATTAGCAAAAGTCCATATTCTCCTTTTTAGAAATTGTGAATTTAAAAAATAATGTCCAGGATCTTAGTAGTTTAAGTCAATATGTTTATTTCATGCTATTGCAATTATTATATGTCATAAATCAATTAAAAGTAGAGGTTCAGAAAGGAATTGAAATCAGACAGGCACAGAGGGAAGCCTTTGTGAGTTAAAGTGTTTTTTGTTAGGAAGGGAATGTTAATGATTGAGATAGGTTTTTTGAGAGATGCATGGTCAACATTATAACTCTAAGGAAGGGGATGGTGTTTAAGGGGCTCCTGGAAGTAAGGATGAGGAAAGAAGAACAATACTGTTATACCATGGCTCGTGGACCTGTGTATCACATTCTAGTAAAGGCTATCTATTGGGAAGTTCTGTGATACTAACTCCTGTACCCTGAAGCAGGGTTGGACTGCAGATAGGGCATCTGAAGAAAGACTTCAGGGGTTATGGACATAGTTGCTTCCTCTTCTTCAGATATTTGAAAAACACAGAGGGTGCCAAAAAAAATGTACATACAATTTAAGAGATGTCTATGTATTACTTTTCAAAGCTGAATTGAGTTGTGGTAGCAATGTGTAGTATGATGTTTGCTCAATCACGCTTTCATTATTTTCTTTGTCCTGCCTATTGCATGATGATGCTAGCATTGTATTAACACCATCTTTAGAGTGAACATCATACTTAAAGTGTGTATACATTTTAAGAAAGGAAAAAACTGTTTACTCAATATATACCAATAACAAAAGATGAATCCAAGTCAGTTTGACTTCTGCAATTACAAGAGATGCTCAAAGTGGTTACCATCAATGTCCAGACACTTCTGATTACAGCGAACTAAAATAACATAGGTAACATATCTTAAATTGTATATACATTTTTTTGGCACCCCCGGTATTAGGATTACTCTAGAGAGCAGAGTTAGGGTTAAGGTAAAACAGTGTCTTTTGTTGAGTTGCTGTTAAAACACCTGTGGTGGTAAACCTGAATTGAACTGACAAGAAGCTTTTTCTCCTTAGAATGACTTTACATCTTGCTGAGAAACATTAAAATGTTTGATTTTAGGATGTCTCGAAGTCCTCTGATATATTGTATAGCCACCATGCCTGGTTATTGTTTTTATTTTTTTGTAGTGACAAGGTCTTGCTATGATGCCCAGGCTGGTCTCAAACTCCTGTGCTCAAGCAATCCTTCCACCTCTGCCTCCCAAAGTGCTGGGATTATAGGCATAAGCCACTGCAGCCAGCCAGTATTAACTTTTAAAAATCCATAAAATCCCGGTCTCGAGGGTGTGTAATGAGGCACTTACACCTGATGAGGATGACCTGCCCTTTGGGGAAGAGACTGGGCAGCCTTTCTCCAGAATGAACGAGTTGGCTTCTACAGTTTGGCAGAAAAAAAATTGCTTCTTCCTTGCACTGAATAGAATTCTCTAAATTTGAAATTACTTACAAAAGCTCTTAAGAAAGTGAGCAATTCTCTGAAAAGTGACTTTCACTTATATTTAATAGTGTTGATGCACTGAACTGACATTCAAGACATTTGGCTATACTTCTTTTATTTAAAGCATGACTTATAGCACGTGGTCTGGATAAATTATGGTTTTTTGGATTTTTGACTAGAACATTTATAGAGTATGCAACATGATAAAACTACCATCAACTATAGAGAAGATAGATGTAGATCATCTTCTAATAACTGTAAGTATCCAGCACCATCTATAATAGGGAAAAAAACAGAGTAAAATGTTAGCTTAAGACGCCTAACGTTGGCTTAAGACACCCCCAGAGGATCATCTCCCATGTCACTAGGCGATATTTCCTTCAAATTTACTTATGTTTTATATTTAAGGAATATTTGTTTTCTTTTAGAGACATTTAGTAAAATAAATAGTAACATAGCATTTACTGAATGTCCACCTTGTATCATTTAACCCTCCCCACGATCCTGGAAAGTTAGGTGATGTCGTTCCCATTTCACAGTGGAAGAAATTGGTATTTAGAGTGGCTACAGCCTGAGGTTCATTCAGTAAGCTACAGAACTGAGATTTGGATCCTGGTCTGCCTCGTTCTAAACCTAGTCTCTATCTGTTGTTCCCTACCAAGATTATGAATCTCTTACGGTTTGTTACTTAAGTATGCAGTTTGGATGATCATATGTTATAGAAACAGTACTCATTTTATTCATAGTAATGAGGTTATGATTTGTGACTTGAAATTTAAGAGCCACACTGATTTGGCTTGCATTTCTGAAATTATTTGCATAATTTGGACCCAAAGCAGTTTATTTGATAATATCTGAAACTAAGGCTAAGTGGCCACAGCCAGTATTGTTTTGTCAACAAGTGGTTTTGAGTTGTTGAAAACCTTTCAGACTCAAATAGAGGGATATGCTGAATTTACTTAAGGATCATAGTTACCTTAAAAGCTAAATATTTGGCAGCTAAAGAGGGAACTTAAAAATTCCAAGCACTTTGAGAGGCTATTCTTTTTGGGTTTTTTTGAGTTGGAGTCTCACTCTTGTCGCCCAGACTGGAGTGTAGTGGCACGCTCCTGGCCACCGCAGCCTCGGCCTGCTGGGCTCCGGCGATCCTTCTGTCTCAACCTTCCAAGTAGCTGGAACTACAGGTGCGTGCTACCACGCCCGGCTAATTTTTTGATTTATTGTAGAGATGAGGTCTTGCCAAGTTGCCCATACAAGTCTTGAACCCGCGGGCTCAGGCAATCCACTCACCTCAGCCTCCCAAAGCGCGGGATTACAGGCTGAGCCACCGAGCCCGACTGCTATTCTTGTTTAACAGTAAGTTTTCTTATGCTTCTGGTGGTTGGGGTTCTTTTCTAAAATATTTCTGGAGTTTCAATAAACTGACCTAAAAATGCATCATTTGAAGAAAGCATTTGTAATGAAGTTGGTTTTGTTTATATCTACTTTCATCATAATATTAGTTTACCAATGTGGACACAGTCTGAGGCAATTAAATGCTTAGGATAAAAATATTTAAAAAGATATAATAGTACTTGAAAAATATTTGGAGATTTTACTAACCGTATATGCCTTGTGGCACAGTACTAAGAGAATTATCTCTGTAAAATAGATAACACAGGCTACAGTTATTATATGAAGGTATTTTCACCATAATTCCTACTTCACCTCCACCTGGGTCTCCCATTTTGTGGCTGTCTTATTGCTGATGTCTTAATATTGGTATAATTGTGTGTGTTTGGGATAGAAAGTAATGTGGTTCTGTTACACTTAAATGCTGGTAAATTGGATCCTTAACTGTCTGTCTGCAACAGGGGGCCTAATTTCTCTCACCTGGCCTCTGAAGGCCCAAGAAAGTATTTGAAGTGATAGAAAGTGCTGAATAAGCACTTCAGGGCAATGAAACATATTAGGAGAAAAACTGATGATTGAAAATCCAATTTCTCAAAATTGGGATTGAGAATATTTTGATTCATCAGCTTCTCTTAGACTAAAATACATGCTATGTATAATTTTAACTGATGTATTAATTCAGTTATTTAAAAAAGGACCAGACTCATTCCTCAGTGCCATGCACCTGTAGTTTCAGCTCCTTGGGGGGCTGAGGTAGAAGATTGCTTGAGGCCCTGAGTTCAAGGCTGTAGTGTGCCACGATTGGGCCTGTGTATTGCCACCGTAACTCCAGCCTGGGCAACATAGTGAGAACCCATCTCTTAAAAAAAATAAGAACAAAAGGAATATGCCTTTTTTGGTTTCTACATTTTTGGGGATATATATTTTATTTTTTATTTTGGGTCTCACTCTCACCCAGACTAGACTGCAGTGGTGCAAACATGGCTCACTGCAGCCTTGACTTCCTGGGTTCAGGCAATCTTTCTGCCTCAGCCTCTGGAGTAGTGGGACTACAGGAATGTCACCTTGCCTGACTAATTAAAAAAAATTTAGAGGGGAGGCCTTGCTATGTTGCCCAGGCTAGGCGTATATTTTAAATTAAAGCAAACTTGTGTGAAAGTCAAAGTAGAAGTCTCAAGGTATGTAGCCTTTGCAACAAGCAAGTTAGTGCTTTTGCATTAAGGAGATGTATTGCTTGCCTTGAAATCAGGTAATTTCTGTGTTTCGTATTTTTACAGTAGGCTTTTTCTCATTATTTACTATGAGTTAACTATAAGACAGAAATAAGCCTGAGGCAAACTTTACTGCTTGAAATTTCTTAACCTAGTGCTGAATATATGTTTATAAACTTAAATTTTGTGGAATAACAGGGGCATTATATAAATAATATCTTTTTAGACTTGCAGAAGTTTTTATCTCACGATCTTGGAGGAAATTGAATTTGTAATTCATGTGTTCTAATTGGGCTGAATTAGTTGAGTTTGGGTCTGTCATATGTTTTCATAGTTATGAAGAATTATGCTTACCTTTCCTGACACCGAGTGTAACTTTTATCAATATAATCATGGAAATAAAATCTTACCCCAAATAAGTTCTAAAAAAAAAAAAAAGATATTTAATCCATTAAGTAAATTTGTACCTTATAATACTGTAAAAATAAATAGGGACTTACCCCTAGTTGATTCAAAATAGCAGTGATTAACTGTGAAAGAAGAAAAAAAAAAATCAATGATTAATGCTGTCAGTGGGTTTTTTTAAAACTTGAATTTAACTTAGTACATATGGAAGTTAAAATATTTTACATATGAAAACTTTTTATTGAAAAATTATCTTCTTGATTAGTATTTCACATAAAAT